GTTTTCCACATTAACAAAATCCTGAGCTTCCGCGAAAGGTTTGCTTTGAACTGAGGGTGAGTTTACTAAAGGGCGGGGCGTTAGGGCGTGACGCACGCCCTCTAGACAAGGGAGGGGCGTCGTCAACACACGCCCACCGGATGTAGGGGGTTGTAGATGAAATATTTAAGAACATTTAACCCTACAGATGTATCCTGCATGTACAGATATTTATAATGTATTCAATTAAGTATTTCAATGAGAGATAGTTTAAATAATTTGTTGATTTTTTACAGGTAAGTAGTTAGGATCTTACTATAAAAATTACACAATGTTTCAATTTAACAGTGGCCGAATCGGCCCGGCTCGCCCGGTGAAATACCACGACCACACAGAAGACAAGCGTGAAGTGGAAGCAATTAAACGTGCAGTCTGATGATTGTGCGTCCAAAGTAGTGTGGTAATGCATATTTATATTAAAACATAAAACTACTTTGATGTCCATAATCACCGGCGTTCAAAGGGTTAACACGTGTTTAACTGGAAAGTGTCTTAACTATATTTTTGTGGTACTACAGTGAATGTTGATGGAATATTATCGAAAGTTGAATTTCCTAAAAACCTTAACATTCAAATCACGTCGATATATTCAATCGATAACTCAAACACAAACACAACACCCTGGGGGTGAGATTTATAAAATTAAATTTGTTACATATCGTAAGCTTCAATAGCGTAGTGGTTGAAGTTCGGATCTATCAGCCGTGGGTTCGAATATAAGGCTATTGAATCATATCTTATAAGCCGTTTTAAAAAATTGTTTCTCTGATGGAAAGTTACACTATCCCCGGGTGACATAGCGTAAATTTATTACTAGACTAGCTATCGCCCGCAACTGTACGCGCAGAATTAAAAAACTTTATTAGTAGCTTATGTGTTCTACCAGACTATGCTCTACATCTAGAGATATATTTTAACTGACATCCATACATCTAAACATTCGCATTTGTAATATTAGTAATTTAAAATATCAAATCATGTTACCTACGTGTTGAATGAGACATCTCAGCTCACCCCCGAGCCCGCCAGGTGTGGGGGTGCACGCGGGGAGGTGGCGGGC